CTCCCTGGGCTTGACTGGGGATCCGCAGCTCTCCCTGGGCTTGACTGGGGACCTGGAGCCCTCCCTGGGCTCGACAGGGGATCAGGAGCCCTTCCTGAGCTAAACTGGGAATCAGGAGCCCTCACTGGGCTAAACTGGGGGACAGGAGCCCTCACTGGGCTAAACTGTGGGACAGGAGCCCTCCGTGGGCTAAACTCGGGGACAGGAGCCCTCCATGGGCTATACTCGGGGACAGGAGCCCTCCATGGGCTATACTATGACTATGTTGGAGGGAAGGGGTATTCCGGTGGTGTCTGGGAGGTCCACGGGGCAATGGTAGTCGGCCCCGAGCCAGAACAGAGAATTGATGGTGGAGTCCTCCAAAGCCGACGCTGCGGCAAGCCCGCAGAATTCCCATGCATACTCAAAGTAAGGGAGATCTCGGCGGGTTAAGGCAGCGAACTGAGCGGTCATCTCCATCGCTGCGGGGAAAAATAAAACACTATCAAAAACGGAAAACTAACATGGGGGAAAAAGGTGCCGCTTACATTGTTTGGGTCCGGCATTCTGTCACGGGTGCACTACTGAGTGGAGTGCGGAGCAAGGAAGGGAGGGAGACAAGGAGTACATCAATTCAGAGAAGTTTAACTATAACAAGGAAAACTTGCGTAGACATGAACAATACCAGATGCTGAACTAAAGACAAGGAACACTGTTTAAACACATGAAAAGATGAGGGGATGACGAGACACACCTGGGATCAATGAAAACAAACGGGGAACACCTGGAATTAAATCAACATAATCAGGACAGGAATAGGAAACTAACCAAATATGGGCATAAACACTGGGACACAGGGAGCACATGGGGTACAAAACACAACACAAGCCTATGGACTATGGCTGAAAAATTTAATATCTAGCTTTGCTCTTCAAAAAATATATAAATGCAATTTTGAAAAAAAAAAAAGCTTAGAAGTATAATGTAGAGACTATAGATGTGTGGAGTTATGGAATATACTGTATGTTTAACTAGTATTCGGATTGTAGTGTGTATTGTTGTACTTTGATGCCAGACATAACAGTCACATAGCACTGGCACCGTCTCATGTAAACAAAATTCCTCACTTGCATGCACTGCTTCAAATCAGATGGCAATTAGTCTGTGCAGTGTCGCATCAAGTTGAAACACAACTAATGTCATAACTCCAGCATGCTTATAATAAACAGGAGGTTGTAAAGTTTTGGTTATAATTAATAGGTAATTATTGTTATCTTTACAGTTATCTTACAGACACCATCCCCCAGCACTGCGGAGAATCAACACCTGGCAGATGATCTGAACGAGTTCTACTGCAGGTTTGAAAAGACACCCCACACCCGCCCTGAACACCTCTCCACACAACCATTCACACCTCCAGCAACCCCCCTCTCCCCCACACCTGCAATTCAGATCAGCGAAGAAGAGGTG